TCGCCCGCAGCCCCGGGAACCCTCGCTGGAGGGGATAAGAAGGGGGGAAAGGTGAAGCGAGTTACCTTGGACGACTGGTCGTCGTATAACGAGACATACGCACCGAAAACATCACGAACTGGCTACTCGTTAGCACAAGGGGATGATGGCACTACCGTCGCCAGTGGAGGTAACGCTGATGAACCCATCGCTATCTTCGAAGCGCAGGAGAACTCATGGATGAATGCGACAGCATTGTTTGCTGGACAAGATGTCCTAGTAAACTCCGTATCGTCCTCCAGTGCGTCATCGACGCCAACCCCAACAGCATCCATATCAGCCACTCCAAGTGCTAGTACGACCGGGGAAGCCGCCGCACCTGCGGGTCCTCCTAGCAATAAGGGAAAGATGCTGACCGTACTTGGAGCCACACTTGGTACGATCTTTGGCATTGCGTTCATCCTAATCCTGATTCTGTTCTGTCTCAAGTACAGGAAGAACAAGAGCAAGCAGAATCCAGGTTACGTCGAGAAGAATGACCGGATGAGCTTTGCCGACCGTGGTGCCGCTTTCATGAAGGAGGCTGGCGGATCTGTCGTCACTTACCAACCCAAACACAACAACGACTCACTAACATCGCTTGCCATCATCCAAGGACGAGGTGGTGGTCACAAGAAGAACGTCGCGAGTGACGCCAGCACAGCAGGACTAGTCAAGAAGAGCAGCCCACTAGGCTACTCTGATGGCTACAATGAGCCCTACGAGCTTGCCAAGTTCGACCTGAAGCCGGAGCCTGTTGAGCCCATGGTTCGCCAGAACTCCAGTCGGAACGCTAAACCTGCACCAAGAGCTCGCAGCTCAGGCTGGAGTAGGTACTTCGCGAACAACGAAGCTACGAACCTTGCTAGTGCACCACCTGCTGACCGATCGACCTTCGCGTCGGACCGAACAAGCACCGGTAGTCAGTCACAGTACACAAACTCACGCATGTACAGCTCACGACCATCACAACACATTGCTCCATTGGAGATCCCCAAGTTCAATGATGGCCAGCGTCTGAGCCGAGTGGCGAGCGGAAGTCCGACGCTTGGAACCCCCACTAGCAGTCTGCCCGGCCTACCACATCAAGTTCAACCCATGCAAGCTGAGCTCGCCCGTGCGAACTCCAACGCTAGCTCAGTATCTGCTCTCAGTCACGACGATCGTCATTACCTACGTGATCCAGTAGAGAGCTGGACCCCAATGGGTGATGACCATCGCACAAGCAGTCAGTACACTGGTAGCATGGTCATTGATCCTAACAACAAGTTCCATGGCACCAGCTCATACTATCCCGATGGCACAGAGTCGTTCTATCCCAAGAGCAACTTCAGCTCCTTCTACCCCGGACAAGGCGACAACTCACCAACTGTTCCTGACATGCGAGACAGCACGTTCACCATGTTCCCGTCTGGCAACGCGCCTCCAGCACCGAAAGACGAGATGCCCAAGAGCAAGTTCAGCTCGATGTATCCTGCGCCGCCACGTCTCGGTCTTCCACAAGATCGTGAGAGCACCGCAACGGTGTTCCCAGGTGGCCCAGGTGGCGCACAAGGAGGACAGGTTGAGCAGGCATTGCCGAGCCCGAAGTTCAACTCTTTCTACCCACCACCAAGAGTTGGACACGAAAGCTCAGCAACCTTGTTCCCAGGTCCTGGCCCCAATCAGCAACCGAACGCGAAGGAGCAATCGGACATGTCATGGCTGAACCTCGGTCAAAGCCGTTAAGTTCTTTACTTCAATGTAGCCTGTCATCACGCCTATAATGAGCCCATGCTCCAAGCAATCTTTATCCACCGTCCTCATCTCCCAATACACATCCTCCACCCTCTCGAAAAGTAGCATCATTCCAGCGAACGCATACCTCTGTACAGCAGATCTTTCTTTCTCGAGCATAGCATTCATCAGCGCCGGGCGTCTTTTCCCAAATCCCTTGTTACCAAACACGAAGCGTTGTCGAGCTTCGCATTCAGTCGCTACAGATACCCGACGCCAACCTCACCACAGCGCGTCAACCATCCCCCAACTACCAACCCCGCCGATCACCAACCTCTCTCCTCTCGAAACGGAAGAGTCTCAGTTGTAAATAGAACACTCTTACCCCACAAATTCCTTTCTTTTCTCATACACTCTTTTCTTTTTCCTCGTTTCCTGATATCTCTTTTACTTTTCAACTTGGTCTGTGTCCAAAGTTACCTTTTGGATGCAGCATCATCTTGATCCTGTTGTTATTGTTGGCTGTTGTGTTATCGCAGATCTACGGATCTGGATATCTTTGTTTTTCAATGGCGTCGTCGTGCAAGATGGAAAGATCTCCTCCTGTCTTGTTCTCTGTTGTTGAAGGTCGCTCGAGTGTGAGTGAGATGGGAAGGTAGTAGCTTAGCTTGTTCCGAATGTTTCGCATGCAGTGCGAGGGTTACGTCTATTGTTGACGTAGTGGCTGACTCGAGGAATTGGATCGGACGTTAATACTTTAATGAAATAAGCGAGTGTCGTACCAAAATACCGTGTCTGTCAATGTGATGTTCGAATCAACAGAGTGACACACTTGCGCTTAATATAGTTCAGGAGCGATTGCACAATATAAGAGGGAGAAAATGAACTGGTACGCTAAAGTCTTCCACTACTCCGTAGCCAACAACAGCACAGATAGAATTATTCTCTACATGCACATATAAGCTAGAAGACGGGGTATGGCAGGAAGGTTGATCAGGACAGGCTCATCGCAAATCTCGAGAACTCTAGATTGTATGAGAATGTCCTGACCATCGACTCTTGGATGTGCCTCGAGATCTTCATCATGCGTAGATTCATCTTCGGGTCTGGCCACGTCTTTACTCTCAGACTCATGTACGGTAGCCCCAGCGTCGATAACTGTTTGGTATCGTCTCTCGACGGCTTCCGCTGCTGACCCCCCGTCTTATAATACCATCTTGATCTCACCGACTAACGTCGTCCGAGGGGGTTGTCCGAGTCTTTGTGCATATTCGTTCACTGAAGTAAACCATACTATTGTCTTTCCAGACCGCAACTCTAGAAGTCTATCGGCGAACGAATGACCGTCCACATTAAACGTGATACTCCCCCAACGCCCTGAGAATGCCGTACCATCCCTTTTCACCCCAAATCTAATTAACAACCCTCCTCATCTGCGCCGCCTGTCTCGGCTCAATAAACAATGCCTCTGCCTCCGTTAGGATGAGCGGCTCCTTGCCCTCCTTGGGAATCGTCTCCAACCAGCCCTTGACCCATGCTTTCCTCCCCTCAACCTTTGTCGTCTCCGCCCTTAGAACGACAATCTGCCCCGCCATGCACGGCGCCTTGTATGTAATGTTTAAACTGGCAGTGACACCTACTTTGTTGGGCAAAGCAGGGAAACAGCATCGTGCTAGTCCTTCGTCCAAGAGCGTGGCTAGGAGGCCTCCGTGGACGATACCAGGGTGTCCGCAGAGCGCTTCACCGAGATATTGCAGAGAGACAAACGATGAGCCGTCTGCGGTGCTGAATTGTAGCGGTGGGACGGCGATTTTGTCGGGACCGAGTAAAGTGCCTCCAGTCAAGTTTTGTGCTCGCAGACCCTCTGGGATTTTGAGGTGGGGGCGCGAAGGAATGTATTTGGGGTCTTCGAGTAAGGATTTTGTGATCGGGTGCTCGAATATGCTTCGTTCTATTTCCGCGACTTGTTCTGTGGAGGGCTTGAACATTTCCAAGGTCTCAGCGTCGGTGGGTGGGTTCGAGAGGTCCCTGAGGGACTCGATTGCGGGGGCGCCGGCCATGATGAAGCCGCCTGTGAAGGTGAGAAGGGTGAGAGCGAGAGCGATAGGTAGGCGGATGTAGATTGGGCGTTTGGCCTTCTGGAGATTTGGATTGGGTGGTGGTGGTGGTGGCGTTGATATGGGTTGTGAAGTTTGCGATTCTGCTACGAAAATGTTAGTTTCGATATTCTTCTTCGATTCTAGTATGACGACAGATAGTGGTCCAGCCCACTCAATCGAGAACAAGGAAGACTTACAAACAGTACTCTGCCACCTAAAAATCCTCCTATCTGTACCACGACCAGGCTTTATACAACACCGGCCGACTTCGCGCGGGGCCAATGCCCTCCTACCCCCGAGTCCCAGACTCCGACCCACATGCCCAGATAAGGTAGACCTTGCGGATATCATGGTTACGTATCTGCGCGGCGCCTAGAATCAGAAACTTTTCCTGGGCTAGAGGGAAGTCGGTGAGCGTTTGGTAACATCGGAGGTTCCGCGCAAGCTCGGACTCTTCGGAATTGGAATGCCTCGGCTGAGAGAACGCGGGCTGTTGGTTCGACTTTGTCAGGGGAAATTTGGTTCGACGGCAGCCAAGATAAATACTATTGGAATGTCGTCGACTGTGTCAGTGTTTTGGTGCGTACTTCGGCCGATGAAGGACTTGATCAAGGCTGGGGAGTCTGGCGTGGATGTTCCTCCCCTTTCAAGTTGAATGGGTTGGCGCCAATGCCTACCACACCACTAAAACATGTCCCTATACGCATTGCTTGTGACAACAGGTATGCTATGGGCTTAAGGAACCTCACTTCGGAATCTGACAATTATCGAAAAGAGGAAGACATGTCCTAAGGGGACGCATAACGTACGAAGTGAGGGTTGATTTTTCTCAATTCCGTCTTCAGGGCACATTCCTCATGCTTTACACGTGGTATTTCCACTCCACCGATCCATCAAGTCATCATACTATACATACAGAGTAGAGAAGTGTGTCATGTAGGACGCCGTACTCTTCTACAGCATCCGTCTATCCACTTCCATGACCCATTGACGAAAACAGAATAGACCCCATGTAGAGGCCAGGGACTATAGTAAAAACAGAGCAATAGCTGTATCTTTTTAAGACGCCAAAGATGCCGGAAGAACATAAGACGCGCGAAAACATGGCGTACTCGTACAGGGTGGGAACACAGGTTTGAAGGAAAAAGGGATAAGTTGGCGACTCGCTCAGTAGTAATCCCTAGCACTCTTCTGCAGCTCGATCAATCTCCATCCTCGTGTTTCGGGGTTGTTCACGTCTTCTGGTATCCTGGTGACACCAATAGCGTATGTGACTTGTTGGACCTTGTCATCCATGCCGGATGCGAGTTCACCAGACTTGGCGTTGCGGTATACGTGCACTTCTTGTGTTCTGCAGGTAAGGATGAAGACTGGGATCTCTCCTGGCTCTAGCAGTTTCGCGTTCAGGACATCAACACCACGGATATCGACAATCTTTCCGTCAGACTTCAGACCTGCGGCTTGGTATTGTTGCATCAGCGCTGCGTAGACTGAGTATTGTGCTGCTGACAACCACTCTTTCAGGACTGCGATATCGCCCTTGACGTATGCGTCCAAGACTTCTGGGAGGATGTATTCGCGCATCTCGGTCAGGAAAGGTTCCATTTGGAAGTTGGGGTCCATTTCCCTGAATCTCTTAATGACCATGGCCGTCTCATTCTCGGCGAAGAAGCCAGTGATGCGGTCGGTGATACTGCGGGCAGTCTCGATGAGGGGGTTTTCGGACTCCCTGTAGACGGTCTTCATGCCGAAGAAGCCCTGGGCGAGCTTTGAGTTGTCCTTCCACTCTCTCCAGACTTCCTTGTACTTGGCGTCCTTGTGCAGAGTGACATTGGTACCAGCGCTGCGAATTGTCAGTCGAAGCTTCTGAGCTACTTGGAAAAGTCTTACTTTGGGTCTTCTTCCATTGGCCCCAAGGTCCTACCACCTGTTCTCTGGAGTTCGTTGAGTTCGCGCAGCTCACGCCTCTTCCTACGCTCCTCCTTCTCGACCCATCCACCGTATCTTGACGAGCTACCATCATCAATGGTCTCCTTCACAGCCTGGAAGGCCTTGGTTTGTCGCACTGGTCGGGTTGCGTATTCGAGGCCACTTCCGGTAACCCTAGCAGCAGCGCGAACGCCCTTGACCGGCATGGTGTCCCATGTCCACGCCGCACCGTGACCGACAGCTGATGCTGTGGCCTTCAATGCCTCTGTTGTCTTTGTCTTGGCAGCTTCAGAAATCTGTCCAGCTTTCTGAACATTAGGATTCTGCTGGAAGTCGTGTAGTGCACCACCCAACTGCTTTGTACCCTCATTCCAGTCCTTGGAGGCCTGGAACTCCTGCTTCAAGGTCTCGGTGAAGACTTGCCATGGTGTCTTGTCACCGTGGGGTGGAGGTGGAGGCGCGTCCTCCTTTTTTTTCTGGCCCTCCTCGCCCTCTTTCTGTTCACCAGATTCCTCCTCTCCGTCCTTCTTCTCTTTGGCTTCCTCGCCCTCTTTCCTTGCCTGGTCGCCTGCAGCCTGCTCTGCTGTGTTGGCCTCAGAGTCTGTAGACTTGGTGGACTGGGGCTCCTCGTCCTTTACAGGTTTTTGCTTTTGTGCTTGCTCGTACAGTGCGGGGCGAGAAGAGAAGTGGCGGGCGTATGCGGATGACGTGCGGAAGAGAACATCTTGGGGCAAGAACTCGCTGCGGAGGAAGCGTTGAGAGGAAAGTGTGGGTGTGGGTGGGAGTGAGGTGCGTGCGGAGGGGACTTGCGAAGCTCTTGGCAGTGTCGATATCCGTCTATACGCTGCAGCTCTTCCATATGCGCTTGCAGGCGTAGCAGCGGCGGGTTGTATGCTCCATCGCGCAGTGGCGGCGAATGTGTTTGCTGTTTGGGGCCTCATGCTCTAGGATCGAACACAATAGGACTAAAATTAAATTGAAGTACAACCGGCCCAGAGGGAAGATGTTTAGAAAGTGGGCGCGGCAAATGTTGGGTGAAGGACGTCAGTTTCGGCATCGCCATCTTTTTCCGCGGTAGTGCCAAGCTCGCAACTTTCTTCGACCTTCTAGCAAGTCACTGCATCCGCGAACCTCAATCGGGGCATCGATACCGCCTCCAACATGGCCAGCAACACCACCTTACGGACGTTTCGATCGCTCACATGCACAATTCGCGCATCATGTCAACACACGCAGCCTCTGCGACCCTTCTCCCACAGCACACAAGCCCTCAATGCGTCTCCCACCGACCGCAATAAGCCCTCTTTGTCAATGGACAGTCTCCTCGGCAATGTGTCACGCAACTTCAAGAACGCAGGTCCTGACCACTTTGGGAACATAATACCCAACGCCGACGGGACCCCGGGCTTCAAGAATCTTGCACCACGCGAGTGGGAAGAGGACGACAAGCACAAATTACACGTTTACGCTACCAAGCACAACACACATCTGTGTCTCACACAGCCAAATCGCAATCCCCTCATCTCGGTATCGTGTGGAAACATTGGTTTCCGGAAAGCGGGGCGCGGGTCATACGATGCTGCCTACCAACTCGCAGCTTTCCTCATGAACCGGATCCAGGACAAGGGCTTGCTGCCACAGATTCAGAAGCTGGAGTTGATATACAGAGGATTTGGGCCAGGCAGGGAGGCAGTCACAAAGGCGATACTGGGTTCCGAGGGAAAGAGGATACGGCCGTTGATTGTCAAACTAGCCGACTCTACGAGACTCAAGTTTGGTGGTGTGAGGAGCAAGAAGCCAAGGAGATTGGGTTAGAGTGTGAGAAAGCAGCAGTGTACGATGATAGTAGGGCATCACTAGGCGTCTATGGGTATGGGCCCTCACTTGACGGCATGCATCACAAAGAGCAGTGTATAGTGGCCAAGGGCAAATTAGACCAATTCGAGAGTCATGTCAGATTTTTCGGCAATGGTGCCCTTTCAGCGGGTGGAATAGGCCGACCACTAGAATCCGTTTCCGCGATGTTGACAAGCCTGGGTGCAAGATTTCCAGCCTCATACCTAATAGGCCCTCTTGCGATTCCTTGATCACTACGACTACTTCCAGCAGAATAGCTCTCGTTTTCCCAGCCCCTTGCCTCCTCAGCGGTGCGATGGCGTTCTCGTTCTCGGTCGTGCCGCAGCATCGACGCTCCTTCGTCTTCGAACTCCTCGTCAAGCAACTCTCCATCAGCAGTATCATAATCCGGTGGCGCTATCCATTCCCGTGGTACAACGCATGGCAGAGCGACGCCGATGCTAGCGGCACGATTCAGATAGCTTGGGGCTGGGCGACCGGTGAGCTTTTCGCAGAGGTAGGACGTGAAGTGGTTGCAGTTCTTGGTGAGGAGGTTATACGACGTTCCTTGAAACTCGTGCGAGGCCTGTGACACGTTAGCCAGTTCTCTGAATACGAATGCTGTTGCATACCTCTTGGATGATAGCCTCTAATTCTTCTTCAGGCCGAAAAGAGAAGCCATGTAGGATCGCCTGCTTGAAAGTACCACCTGGGGGTTCTTGCCCAGGTTTCGTCCAGTACACTCCCGTTAGATCCCGCCGGTCATGCCCGCCATATGCATATTCCCTATCGCCAATAACAACACCCGTGTGTAGGAGAGAACTTCCAATCGCCCAGAGCACAGTGGCGACCTTGCCGGGGGGTAGTAGATCATAGACGTGTATGGTGACCTCGGTTCTTGTAAGTGACAGCGTACTCCTATGGTTGCCGGAGCTTTTGCGCGAGGGTTTTGGTCGGGCAGAGGACGACATTTTGTGTGAGTGTGGTGAGATGTATGGATGGGTGTGGTGCAATGTTTAGAAATCGAGTGTGGTATCTATTGCGGTAGGTATCTCTCTACGTTTGGTACCGAAGATGGAGGGTGGGGTATCATAGACGCTGGTAAAGGACGCTGAATGGTGTGAGGCACTGGTGCGGGGGCGGGAGGGTAGAGGTCAGTGAGCGGGACCAGCCCTCAAAGTAATATGCGGAGATGGAGGTATGGGCGGTGATGTCGACGACGAACTGCCCCAACCGCCCATGCTCTGGCGATCTGCACTGGACCAGGCGCTTGCCGCGTTGGAGCAAGCGCCGCACGGACGCCACCCTAGCCACATAAACTCTTGAAAATTCGATTGGACCTCCAGCCTCTGCTTGTTCCAGGAAAATGCATTTCGGCTGCTAATGCCCCTCACGCCGCCTCTGACGACCTTCTCTTTCTCTTCTTTGATACCCACTTTTTACTCTCCGGCAGCAAGAACTGCCTGTCATTTTTCGGCCTCTTTACACTCTTCACCTTCTCCCACCAAATTTTTCATCGCCTTCACAGCCGCTCGCACCTACGCGTCCGCGCCCAAGAAGAAAAAGATGCCTCCCAAGAAGCAAGTCCAGGAGGTGAAGCTTCCGCTCGGCAGGCCAGGAAACAACTTGAAGACCGGTATCGTGAGTGAGAGCCCTACATAGCTTGCCTCGTCGCGTTCTCACATTAACAGTGATTGCCAGGTTGGCCTAGCAAACGTCGGCAAGTCGACTCTGTTCCAAGCCATCACCAAGTGCTCTCTTGGTAACCCCGCCAACTTCCCATATGCCACCATCGACCCAGAAGAGTCGCGCGTCATTGTCCCAGATGACCGCTTCGACTGGCTGGTAGAGCACTACAAGCCCAAGTCGGTCGTTCCTGCCCACTTGACCATCTACGATATTGCTGGTCTGACGCGCGGTGCCTCCACTGGTGCCGGTCTCGGTAACGCCTTCTTGTCGCACATCCGCGCCGTCGATGCCATCTTCCAAGTAGTCCGATGCTTCGACGACGCCGAGATCATCCACGTTGAGGGTGACGTTGACCCGATCCGTGACTTGGACATCATCGCCGAGGAGCTGCGCCTGAAAGACATCGAGTTCACTGAGAAGGCACTCGTTGCTCTTCAAAAGGAGACAAGGAGAGGCGGTCAGAGTTTGGAGATGAAGAAGCTCAAGGAGGAGCAAGCCACAGTCGAGAAGGTCCTTCAGATGCTCCAGGACGGCAAGGATGTCCGGAAGGGCAACTGGTCACCTAAGGAGGTATGTACATCTTACTTCCTTTTCTCACACCCCCTGTTAGAAGATGACAAAGAGCGATTGCTCTATAATCCCAGCTCTCTGATGGCCCATTAACGCTGGGCTGTTCTGAAGTGAAGTCCTACTCTGATTAACAATATCCCAACTACATCACGTTTCTGAGATGCTCCTTGCAAGCATATACTTACAGTTTGCTAGGTCGAGCACATCAACCCTCTTTTCCTCCTCTCAGCTAAGCCTGTCGTAACCCTCGTCAACTTGAGCGAGAGGGACTACATCCGCAAGAAGAACAAGCATCTACCCAAGATTGCCGAATGGGTCAAGACCAACGCCCCTGGTGACCCAATCATTCCCATTTCAGTACAACTCGAGGAGCGCCTCGCTGTCATGTCTGACGCGGAGGCAGCCGAAGAGCTCAAGACCCTCGAGACCACGTCAGCGCTGCCCAAGGCCATCCAGACCATGCGCAAGGCTCTTCAACTTGGTAGCTTCTTCACCACTGGTACCGATGAGGTCCGACAATGGACAATTAGGACTGGCACCAAGGCGCCGCAAGCTGCTGGTGTCATCCACGGTGATTTCGAGAAGACCTTCATCCAGGCTATCGTATACAACTACAGCGCACTGAAGGAAGAGGGAGATGAAGCCACTTTGAAGGCAAAGGGCAAGATTATGACAAAGGGCAAGGACTACGTTGTCGAGGACGGTGATGTTCTCCTCATCAAGGCTGGTGCTGCTAAAGCATAAACAGCTTTTTTTGAGTCTTGTCCACGTGTGTATGTGTTTATGATCTACTGCCATCTTACGATGAGCTACATGAAAAGCAGCTAGACTGCACTGAATGAATGAAGATAAACATACCCACAAACATGATCTTTGCATATCATGCTGTGATGCTTGAATACTGACGTTTCATTATGAAGAGCTAGAAAATCTTCCTAGCAGATATCTCTATCCAGATTACATACCTCTTCGCAAGCCCAACTACTTCGCCTTGCCTTTAGTCTCAACAAGCATCCAACTATTTCCACATATACAATGCTTGCTCACACCCAGCAAGTACTGATAGTGTGCCGCAGTATACCCTGGCAACCCAGGCACAACATCCTCCATACACGCACCACATCTCGTACACTGCTTGAGCAAATTCCTTCTCTTCCTCTCCCCACCCGCCGCATCCCCGTTCGCTCCAGCAGCACTATTGGTACTATCGCTCCTCCCACGATTCCCCCCACCCGTCGCACTCCCCACAGGATGAACCCAGGTCCCCGTGCCCCTAATAATCATCTTCTGACACACATCCACAACGTGCTGCTCGTGCCATATCCTCGCACGCTTGCTATCCTGGAAACCAAGCCACGTGGTATCGAAGAACATGAGTTTCCCCATGTCGAGTTTATCAGCCAGACAGCCGTTTTGCTGGTTGCTGTTCCAAAGGGTATCTGTGACGAGGCGTTTTGCTGCGGGGAAGAGGATGTCGGGGATTTTTCCTAAGAGGAGTTCCCGCTCGATGCTGTTGCGTTGCATGTCCGTTAGGTTACGCTGTTTGTAGATGCCGCGGACATGATTTTGCGTTTCGCTGATGAGCACTTCAAACCAGCGGTATTCGAAAGGGACTTCGGTTACGGCTTGGTCGAGGGGGGAGTATAGCTTTTTGGCTTCTGGGGTCTGGGGCGGCCCGGGAGGGCTGCCTTCTTGAGGGGGTCGAACGTAGGCTGCTGCGCTGCGCTTTACCCATTGGGTTGGTTGAGCCCAGAGTTTCATCATGGCGCGGGGGAAGGCAGAGAGGAGGAGCAGGAGGGCGGGTTTGTTGAGCTCGTGAATCTTGTCTTCGAGCACAGAGCGTGTGAGCTCGGTGCCGGCGGGGAGGTCGGATATCGCGCGGCCGATGGTGAAGAGCTCGTCGAAGATGTATGCCATGAAGTGCATGGTCCATCTGCTTGTTCCGATCATTTGTGGTACACCTTCGGGCTTGAGGTTGTTCTTTGATGTATCGCCATGCAGGCGGAAGATGGTGGTCAGGGTTTGCGTGACGAATCGTATATTGATAATCTGCCAGGCCATCTTGCTGCTCAGGGATCGTTCGACGGTGCCTTGAAGGCCGAGAAGGTTCATGGCCGAAAGCGTCTTTACGAAGAAGGGACCGCGACCAAGGAGGAGAAAGTGGTTGCTAGAAGTGTCGTCCACACCACAATCAATGTTAACTTGAAGTCCTTCAAAGAGGAGGTTGATGAAGTCATGCTTGCGTTTCTCGCTAAGGGAGCTGATGATAGCGAAGATGTCGTCGCTAGAGTAGTATTGGTTTGCTGCCGAGGAGGACTGTAGGATGAGTGCTGCGAGTGCGGCGGAATGCCGTGGGTCATCGTCGTCTGACGAGAGGGTACCGTGAGAGTATTCCATGGAGCGTAGCTTTGGGTTGCCGTCCAACTGCATGCATACCGCCATGCAGTGATTAGGCGACAACGCAACGTGTAACGAAGGTTCTGCATGTTGGAAGATAAAACCAGCTTGTAATAGCGATGTTACAGTATCGGTATTGTCATCTGGCATGACTACTTCCATGGTGGATCGCTTCCTGAACTCGATAGCCCCATCGCTGTAGGCGAACGCCAGGAGCATGTTATACCATACCGGACAAAAGTCCAAGACGACGCCATGCAGGGAGAAGTCAGGCTGCCTTTTCAGAAGAAAAGTGTTCTGCGCAGGTATTGAGCTTACGCTCTTCTTCTTTGATGTTACTTGATCAAGGCTAGAATGGAGTTGACTGTGCTGCTCTTGATGCACTTCCCATTTAACGATGATACTGTAGCGGGTCTCGTGGGCGTTGAGATCGTATGATAGAGGATTTGGTGGCTTGCAATATATCGCTTGAATGGTAGGTATTGAGCCGTCGTCCTGTTCGGGCGTAATTGGAAGAAAGTTGAGATGTGTAAGTTGGGCAGCAGCAGCGCCCCTTGATGCTGTCCCGTTACTCAAGTCGTCGTTCGCAAGGTCGACAGGATTGCAGTCGTCTTCCAAAGCAATTAGTGAGACCTGGATTGATGGCTTTTCGAAGGGGCCTGCATTCTGGCTCCGCTTGTCTGTCGGCACATTCCAGACTGTCTCGACTCGGTACAAGTGTAACCGCCTTTTGACATCATAAGCTGCCAACAGGAGAGTGTTGTCTGTATCGAATTAGTCTGGTAACTTCAGGGATTGAACCGAAATTTACCATTGTTGGACGCAAATGCTGCATGGGTGAATGACTCCTTGGTTGAGATCATAGGCCCAAGCTGGGCAGAAACCTCTTGCCAGTGGTTATCAATCTGCTGGAAACGAAGCCTAAGTTCGCCATGTCTCTTCAGATACACAAAAGACGCTTTGCCGTCTATAGGATGATGAGCGTTGTTGAACATGTGTTGTTTGATGTTCCATTTCCATTTGCCTCCTTCTCGCGCAGCTGACCAAGCGATGAGATTCTGCATGCATATTAGAACCACACTGCTGAATACCTGAGAAGTCATACCTTCTGTGCGTAGGGCAGGATGGCTAGCCAATGCATCCCAACGACAGCATCTATTTCAGACTCTGGCTGAGCTACTTCGGCTCTAGTGAAATGCATGCGGTCCAAGGCCATGGCGCACGAGAAGACCATGACTCGACCTGCATCATCCGTGACAGCAAGATCATTGCCTAGGTGGCTCCATGACAAATGGGTCAAAGGGAAGACTTCGCGGCCTTGCGGTAGCTCGAGAGGGACGCTTCTTCCGAGATCCCATTTGCCTGATTCAGGGTCGCGTGAGAAGATCTTTAGGTTGACAGAGTAGCCATCTGGATTTATGTACGCAACGCAGCCATTCTTGGACCAGGCTATCTTCCTATCACTTGTTAGTCAAGGCAGTAGACTTGCCCTGGCCCACTTACTGGCAACAGCCAATAGACGCAAGCTCGTCGAGTCGGCCGTCGAGCCCTTTGACAGGCGGCGTTGTGTTGATCGTCTGTATGTTGACATGTTCTGAGTCTCCGAACAGATCATCCACGTCCATGTTGTAGCTTGCACCGTCCATGTTGGTGGGATGGCTATGCCAGGCGACTGGTTGATTGAGAGATGAGAGCAGTCGCGAGAATAAGAGATGGGAATGAGCTTGGCAAACAAGGCCGTACTAGACGCAACACGAAGGTGGTGACGAGCAAGTCGTCGGGTATCACAGAGACTACAAGGAAACGGAAAACAAAAATTCAAGACCGTGACGGACGCGGAGAGTCTCAGAGGTTGATGAGGCTGCGCTCCGGTTGTCTGGGATCAGCTCGCGGCAGTAAGCGATGAGCTAACGATGGCTAGCGCGGTTCCATCTGGTGTGCTGTTCGTGAGAGCTTCGCGCACAATCGTCATCTCGAGCTGTCATCGCTCTCAGAATGCTGGTGGAGGTTATCGCAAGAATTTGAAACATAATGCGAGTCGCTCCCATGCGCTATACGATGTCAGGATTGTCACGGTCTAATAAGCGCATTGCGCCGATCCCTAAGAACTTGGGAGGGGTCGCATGCGCTGTGGCTGTCACGGCATCTGGGAGAGCATGATAACGTGCCGTCCGAATGGAAGCATGACAGATGGAGACTTGCTCCAGAGCTCGTCTTTGTACTCCATGTCTACGGCTTGCATACAGCTCTCGAGTGTTCATGTAACGATTCTGCCGATCGATCAGTCAAGCACAGACGTGCCGCAAGCGTAAACATGTCGAGTGTTTAGGTTCTTTTCTTGGCATGACTACCCGGCGCCCATGGTTGTCCAGGTCAACCAGCGTTCGCCCGTCATCGCATCCACCGCCAACCTCTTTACACCTCCCACCCACCCCTTCACGTCCACACACAGACGCGTCTACCCCGGACGCGCGCCTGTCCTATTATTATCGCGCTTTCTCGGAGCCTCACAATGGCCTAGCGCACCTCTCCCATCTGACGGATTTCCTCTACGGGGATCCAAACGGCAGCGACGGCAGCAACGACCGACAGCCCCCAACCCACGCTTTTCACACCACCACAATCTCCACATACACACATCTCCAGCTCGCGGCATACCTGGAAAAAATAAGCTGAATTTAATGCGCGATTCGACCACGTTCGTTAAGCTGCAAGGACGTCTGTAACACCAGACGCGTCGTGTCCCTGGAGCAAGGTGCTTTGTGCTCACCGTTGAGCCTTCCTCACGATACACGGCTGCCGCTGCCTATTGTTCTTCACCTCGCGCGCCTTCACAATGGCATACAACACGCTAAACAACGAGCCAAGCTCGCCCTTGACCGAGATCTCGGATTCAGATCTCTCTATTCTTTCTCGGTCGCCCACTCCACCGCCCGAGCTTAGCAAATCCTTCGCTCAACGTCGTGCATACATGTCCCCGTCTTCCTCGCGACGCTCGTCCGCCAAGACCTCACCCGCCCCAGAAGACATGCCTTCTCCACCTTCCAGCAACGACGATAATCCGCGCCCAGCAAAGAGGAGGAAGACTGCAGAGCCCAAGGAGCGTACGGCAGAGTACCTAGACCTCTCAGGGTCTAGCGTGGAAGAAGAAGAGCTGCCACAGCTGCAGCGCCTACTGAGCGTTTTGCACAAAAAGCGCAAGATTGTGGTGATAGCAGGTGCAGGCATCTCAGTTTCTGCAGGTATTCCCGACTTCCGATCCGCTACGGGTCTTTTCAATACGCTCAAGAAGGAGCACAAGCTCAAGTCCTCTGGCAAGGATCTTTTCGATGCGTCTGTGTACCAGGATGACACGTCCACATCGACATTCCACGACATGGTGCGCACACTATCCCAGCACACCAAAGCCGCTGAGCCCACCGCCTTCCACCATCTTCTCGCGACCATAGCCCAGGAGGGACGTCTAATGCGACTTTACACCCAGAATGTCGACGGCATAGACACTTCCCTACCCCCTCTAAGTACACAGGTTCCCCTACCTAAGAAGGGGCCTTGGCCCAAGACTGTCCAGGTGCATGGTGGTCTAGATTACATGGTGTGCTCCAAATGCCATGTAGTCAAAGATTTCGACGCCGAGCAGTTCAAGGGACCCAGCCCGCCACCCTGCCCGAGCTGTGTGGAGAACGACGAAATTCGTCAGTTCGCAGACAAGCGAAGTCACGGTATTGGTCGCCTACGTCCTCGGATGGTCCTCTACAATGAGCACAACCCGGATGACGAGTCTATCGGTTCTTGTGCGTCCTATGACATGCGCATGAGGCCAGACGCTGTTATCGTGGCTGGCACCACGTTGAAGGTTCCTGGTGTGCGACGCATAGCTCGCGAGATGTGCAACATTGTTCGCGACCGAAAGGACGGAGTCACAGTATGGTTGAACAATGACCCTGAGCCGATGGGCAAAGATCTCGAGGACAAGTGGGATCTGGTAGTGAAAGGACCCTGCGATGAGGTCGCCCGTTATGCCAACATGCGGCGATGGGATGACCCAATGCACTATAAGACAGTCACAGACGAGGATCTAAACAAGGTTAGAGAGAGGCAAAGAGCAGAGGTTATCATTGGCACTCCTCGGAAACCTGGTGTGCTCCGCAACGCAGGGCAGCTCACACCTGGACAAAGTCCACGTATACTTCCACTCTCGTTCAACAAAGAGGAGCCAGAAACGCCCTCGAAGAAAGGTACAAAGAGGAAGGCAGATGCGCAGATGGATTTATTCGGCAAAGTCGCTACCAAGGCACCTGCAAGGAAGCCGAAGGCACAGCCAAAGAAGGCGGCAGCATCAACTAAGAGCAAGGCGAAGAAGGAGTCCAAGAAAGAGGCCCCCGCCATCAACAATGTCTTCAAGGCTACCAAGGGCGGCGCCAAACCTGCAGGCAAAGCTGTGGGCAAGCCTGTGGCCAAAGGATCCGATCCGGCCCTCACCATCATCGAGTCAAAGTTCAACTCGTCAACTAAACTAGATCCGAAAGAAAACATCAGCGACGTGATTCATGTCGAGAAGCGACGAAATCCGTCTACTCCCAGGAAGCCAACAAGGCTGACCAAGATAAAGTCAGACTTTGTCTTCCAACCCGTATCCAATGCGGACGGCCGCAACAATCACTCACCAAAGCGACCACCGATGGAGAGCTTTACTCCAACAAAGGCTCGTACGCCTAGTGCTCAAATCCAGGAGGAGATGGCTTTCGCGCATGCGACAGCGACAGATTGCGATTCTCGACCCGGATCATCCGGCAGCGCACAGCGGCACCTTATTGAGAGCCCGACAGGTGCTGTGCCCAAAAACATGAATCACCTTCTTTGCTAGCAACTATTGCATTTTTCGGCGTTAGTGAATTACCTTTCACAAGCAGACGTCGCATTCGTATGCGCAATACATTGCATAAGAGGCGTTTGCTGGAGTGTACGGATGAGATAACAGATGTACCAGTACTTTTCTCATTGTTGGACATGCATATCTTACCTTTTGACTGCATGATACCCAGGAGGACCCCCAACAAAGGCAGGTTCGGGTGCTGTGGCGTCCTTTTTACATCCAAGATAGTGATTCAAATGATAGTTTATGGCTTTGGCCTCGATTGATATCCTTGACGAATACGAGATGTTTGCTGTTATGATGTGTTGATCTGTTGATGGTGAACCGGTTCCTATGTAACAATGTCAACAGCTCAATGAAACCTTGTAGTACTTTGGATCTTTGACCTCGAAATATGCGTGGCACTGATGGGCCTTAGGTTGTGCCTCAAATATCGCGCCTCCAATGCGCGCCTTCCCGATATGGAGCCTTGGCGCTTGCTTCGGCCTGTGCACATTGGCTGACGACAACTTCTCAACCTTTCGTCTTTCACGCAGCTACGTTCTAGCGAAACAGGAGCTTACCCTTCAACTCCAACTCCATATCGTGTGAATCCCCAATCACTGTTAGCGGTCCAGATTTACTGATCTGAAAGTGCTTACAATTGACATCCTAAGCTGGCCAACATCTACATACGCCAACGTGTCTTGAAAGCCCTTAGATCCCAAGCTTGCAGTGCTACGGCCTTCAACATAGTTCAGCGAGCAAGAACTAGGGATAGCCGCTTATGGCTCCGCCACTTACCGTTCGTAATTTGACCCCCGTCAGCATCACGATTCAGCGTGTTGAGCGATTTGAAGACCCAAGCACGCTTCAGTCCAAACCAAGCGGATATTTCCTCGGCAGTCAAAATTCCACTTCCGCCGCACCGACTTCACCTGAGCTCAGCGGACATGCGCAAAGCTTCAATCATCAAGACCTTGATATTCTGTTGCAGCCCTTTGAGTCGTACACGCTAAGATTCCCAGACTCGGAGCAGTCCAGCAATACGTCTACTATTTCAAATCCAACCCTTCGTATCACGGTTCGGACATCCCATGGTGAACGTCATCGTATCGATGCGCACCCTTCATACACGCAGAAATCTACACAGTCCTTCACCCCACTGTCCGGAATCACCTCAACGACGTATAAAGCACTCTTCCACCCATCGAGACCGGTTCCTCATCTCTCCATTCATGTCAATCACCTTCCAGACTACACTTCTTGGATGTCCACATTGCCAGATGACCTACCGTTATCGGCTATAAGCATCCCAGGAACGCACAATTCGCACACACACTACCGAGCTCTCCCATCTGTTCGTTGTCAAGTTCACGATGTAAAGACACAGCTGGAGAACGGTATTCGATTCCTGGATATACGGGTGCAGCCAACGCATGCTACAGATGCATCGAAGAAAGACCTCTACCTCGTACACGGTGCATTCCCAGTCAGCCTGACAGGGCCAAAGTACCTCGAGCCGATCTTGAAGACATGCTATGACTTCCTTCGAGAGAATCCTAGCGAAACGGTGCTAGTAAGTCTGAAACGAGAAGGGGTAGGAAGCGCAACGGACGAACACCTTGCCCGCGTTCTAGAAGAGCAGTACATCACACCCAATGCGCGTCACTGGTATACGGAAAACGCGATACCGTACTTGGGAGCTGTGAGAAGCAAGCTGGTTTTGGTGCGACGGTACAATGTAGCTCAGATTGAGAACTCTTATTCGAGCCCGGATTGTAGGAACGGTGGCCTGGATGCAACGGCATGGCCGCATAACGCAACTCACGCCGTCTTCCCATCGCAATCTTCTTCACCAACCTTTTGTCTGCAAGATTTCTGCGAGGTCATGGTACCCGACATTATTCCAACGAAGATGCAGCATTGCAACGACCATCTTGTGCGCTCTGCTGCTGCCATCCACCCTATTCCTGGCATAACAACAGACGTCACAAACCCAGTGCCACCAGGTCCCTTGTATCTTAATTTTCTCTCTGGAAGCAACTTCTGGAAGAAATCCTGTTGGCCTGGAGCTATCTCTAAAATTGTCAACAGGGGTATGGAGGAATGGCTTTGTGAGGGGCATCATTTGGAGGCTCCTAACACAACGTCCCGCCACCCGGATGTGACAGACGAAGGGGAAGAGAAGGGGACAAAGAGGGCAAAGAGTGGTGATGGTAGTACGGGTGTTGTTGTTATGGACCATGTGGGTGAACATGGGGACTGGGAGTTGGTCAAGCTGATCGTGGGCATGAACATGGGAGTGTTGGCGAAGATGAAGACACTCGGGAAGAGTTGATGGAAGATGGCTGGAACACAAGCTTACGAACATGTAGAAGTATATACCCAGGATTCATGCTGTAAATGTGTTATCCGAGATAAGTTGAATGATGATCAGCTTGCAGGTTTAGCGTGAACAAGCGGGTGAGGGAGTGTCTGTGCATGTCCGAGTTCCGACGGAACATTTTGGCGATGAGCATCATGCATGTGGCGCGCCAAACCCCACGACGTGCGTATCATGCATTGCTCGGCTCCAACGAACACGGCTGGTGAAACGACAATCGTAAGGTAGCCCATATCCAGCTACCCAATGTCTCTCCTCCGACCGACGTGCGCATCACTCGCGCGGCGACTCTGCACTGCGCAACCGCATCCCGAGCAAACCGTGAGGTCGCCCTTGTTAGCCCTCCTACAGCGACACCGATCCTCACGACCGCAATGCCGTTCCTTCGTCTCAACACCCCGCTATCGGGCAAGGGTTATAGACACGCCACAGAACCCGAGCATTCCCCAATCACGCAAGCGCACAGTTAGGATAGGTCCTCTGCCCGAAGGTCCAGTCAGTGAAGCAACCATACAACGCGTATTTGGGCGAAGATTATCAGCCCACGATGGCAACAACGTTCTGCGGATACTGCACCACCGACGGACAGCAGGCTCACTAGCCGACTATGGCGTGGATAACCTGGGCAAGCAATACACACACGTGAGCAGGGACACTGCATTGAAGGGCCTGGAGTGGTTGCGAGAGAAATACCCCATCGACGAAGCGCGTGCAGCAGAGGAATGGGCAGAGAAAGAGGCAAACCGCATAGCCTATGAGCTCTGGCTGGCTGACCCCGAAACCGAGTCCAAATACAAGGATCCCGCTCGTGCTTTCAAAGAGCAGATGGAGAAGGAAGAGGCCGAGAGGCAACGCCAGGAAGCTGACGATCGGAAGATTGGTATACTGCATGCGGGCAAGAGTCAGTTTGAGCTCAACATTGAGGAGAAGAGGAGACAACGATTGGAGGAGATTACACGGATAGCAGAAGAGAAGGAGCAGAAGGAGAGGGAAATGGAAGAGAAGCTGGCGACCGGAGAGTATGTGCGTACGCCGACTGGTACACAGCTTATGAAGCCCGGTCAAACGGCTTATGTTGATGTCTTCGGCCGCGAACAAGTCAGTCGGAGGAAAGAGGAGATGGAGAAATACAACAAGGCTGCCCAAGTAACGGATGCAAAGACGCCAGAGGAATTGCTGGCACAAACCACTCTCGTGAGTTTGTCCTCTCCCTCTTCTCAAATCCTTGTACATTGCTGACAATACTACAGGCGCAACGTCTCTACCCCATGTCTGCCTTCGTCCTCCTTACCGTCCTCGTCTGCTACGGCTTCGCACATTACTACGCCCCGCCTTCACCCTCGTACCGCATGTTCCCAGACCTCAGTCCAACAACCGCCACTATTGGCGCGCTCCTCGTCATAAACGCTGCTGTTGCAGTAGCATGGCGTGTCATGCCCCTCTGGCCACTCATGACCCGCTACTTCATGCACGTCCCCGGCTACCCCCGTGCCGTCCAAAGCGTCCTCAACGTCTTTAGTCACGTGCAGTACGAGCATCTCCTCGCCAACATGATGATGTTGTGTCTAGTCGGACCTGCATGCTGCGACCTCGTTGGCCGTGGTGTCTTCATGGGAACGTACATTTCAGCAGGCGCTGTCGGTACTTTGTTCTCCTTGTACTGGGCTAACCTTGGTCGCGGAAATATCACCGCGCACTCTGTTGGTGCGTCCGCGGCCATTTGGGGCATCGCGGCGCTGTACTGTCTCCTTACCGATCAAGAGAGGATCAAGATTCCTTTCTTGAAGGAGGGCGAGGTGGCGTTTTGGCCCAAGATGCTATTCGCTGCGTTTGTCGTGTTTGAAATTTTCTCCGCGTTGAAGAAGGGTAACTCTACTATGGACCATGCTAGTCATTTCGGCGGCATGTTCGTTGGCATGGCTACCGCTGGCTATTTGCGAGCGAATGGCTGGCAGGACAGACCATCTTTCTTGAACAGAGAGGGTGGTGCTGTGCAGCAGGGTGTCCAGGAGAAAGCTGGTGTGGATGGCAAGACAGTTGATGTTGGTGCCATGGCGAAAGAAGGAATCAAAGAAGTCAAGGAGAGCATATCATCGAAAGTTGGAAAGTAACGTCGTTCCGTTTGGTCAAAGGAAACGAACCGTTAGTATTGTATCATAACACATGTACAAAAAGAAGTCAAGGATATGGCTTATTCATTCTTCTCTTCCGTTCCTAAACTTTGGGGAAGATGTAAATACCCTTCTCCAGCGCACTCTGCACAGCCTTGACTGGTTTAAGGTACTTGCTCACAGCTGGTACCTCCTTCTTGATCAGCATAGCCACTAGGTTTCCAAACACAACACTCCCCTCTGCGTTCAAATGCGTGCTATCACCAGCCTTGAGGTCATATGTAGGCGCCTTCTCCGGACCAATCGCATTCAAATACTTGGTACTCGCCGCATTCAAATCAATAATATCAGCGCCCGACTCGGCCGCCGCATTCTTCGCCGCTGCAACTACATCGGCCAAATCTGGCTTGATTTTTCCGTCAGTGCCATACTTGCGCCGGCTCAGGGACGTAACGAGGATGGGTGTGGCGCCTGCTTTCTTGGCTTCGTCGACGAAAGCGACGAGGTTGGTGGTGAGTTGTGCCGCGCTGATGTTCTTGTCGGGTTTCTGATCGTTGTGGCCAAATTGGATGGTCACGTAGGGTGTGTAGTTCTTTGAGGCGTTCTTTGCGGAGGCGAGGACGGTCGCCCAGTCGCCGCCTTGACGGAACGAGACTGTTGTTGCGCCATTGTGACCATAGTTGACGCCTGAGGCGCCACTTGTGAGGGTTGTGGTCAGGAAGCCGGTGCCCCAGCCACCGCCGCCCTCGGACTGTACGGCTGTTGTTGAGTCGCCAGCGAGGATGAAGTATGGGGGTTTTGTGGCCTTTGGGAGGGCAAAGGCTGAGGTGGCGAGGAGGGAGATGTAGGTGAGTGTTGTGGGGAGATGCATTTTGAAGGTTCAGAAAAGACGTCACTGTCGAGTTGGAATTGAAGAAAATGGAATGAAATGATTGAAGCCGACTTTCCTGGTCTGACTTAACGAAGGATGTATACTACCTTTATACTCTGGAACTATATCCCCCGATCTTCTCCTTCCCTAGATTACATGCCATCCAGACGACGGTTTACCGGACTTCTACCCCATAATTTCCTTTCGTGGCTTGTGGGTGCAGAGTGGATAGTATGGGGTAGCCTGCAACGTTCGTGTTGAAGGATTTCCACCAATCGGTACAGTAAAAGTCCACGGGTACGTCATGGATGGTGTCTGGCGGAGAAAATCCGACGCCGTGAAAACGGGGTCGTATCCTAGCAAATGCACGATTCCCGTTCACCCGGCTGCGCGAAGTGACAGGTACGCACGCTTTGCTCCTATATGAAGGGATTGCTGATGCTGGGGAAATGCCTAGTGCGCTGACTCTAGGTTTCGCGTTCGGTGAAAATGGAAATGCGCAGCAGGGTAGAACCATGGAAATTAACAGAGATAGATCTAGATGCAGAGGCTTGTGAGATCTTAGCTGGTCGCGTGTGCGCTTCATCAGAAGCATATGGGAATGAGGTACATCCATGCAATGCGTGGTATATTTTTTGGCTCGGATATGCGATGGAGATGGAAGACAAACGCAGGGGCAGGATGAGGCGAGGCGAGACGAGCGTACGATGATTACGTGACGAAAAGTCTTGTGCTCACCTATGGACGCTCTGAAACTCTGAGATTTGCGAAGGGCAGGAACATACCTAGGTGCCGCTTCCTCATCGGGAATAGGTACTATCGCGTGCCCTTAGACTCCGCCAGGTGATGAAGGTTCCATCCCCGCACTCCTGTCTCGCCTACAGAGATCACAGAAAGAACATCGCTCTAGTTCAATGTGCGCAACACCGACTCATGATTCACCTATGAGTTTAGATACGAACACGGGATGCTGGATGCTTACGCTGAGCCTTTTGCTCGTCCGTTGGTACATGATCGAAACAGTGGTTTACGGGGTTTGTTTCCATCTAACAAGCGCTTGTTAGCGACCACCTCTGGCGTATATCCCATCCTTGCCGTACTAACAGGAATATTTGCTTGTTTCATAGGAGAAAAAAGATTGGCATGGGCGTATTCTGGACAGTATCGAGCTTGAAACAAGCAAAGCAAAGCTCATCAAAAGAGCCCGGGCTTCCGGTGTCGGTCCGATGCCCAGTGCAGCGATACGCCAACCAGCCACAAACGATTCACGAGTCGCGAGAGAACGTAAGCAAGAGTGAAAAGGTACAAGATATGGTGACGCACTATTGGTATCTTGTACGCCTAGAACATCGCATCCAATCGAGTCTACACACGAGACAGACGAGTCCAAAATCTCAGAAATGCTCATTCAACGATGGCGTCTGCGAGTGCGCATTCCCTTCTCGAACGCTCACTTGCGTTGTCTTCATGATCTTCACACTTTGTGTCCTGTCTTCGAGCTCCAATATATGCCGCTCGCTCTCGTCGTCATCCTTGTTATCCAGCTTAGTGCGCCCTCTAGAACTGAAATGCGAAGAGTTTGGGTGAAACTGGCTGTTCTGTTGTCGCGAATTGCCAGCGCCGGTTGCGTAGCTTCCAGGCAGAACTCTAGAGAAAAGGCCCAGGATGTGCTTTCGTAGCGGTGGTAGGTTCGCGATGATTATGCCGACACAGACCTCATTGATGCTGCAGATGCTCAAATCGATTGCGTCCCACATCATCTCCTGTGACCGCAGGAACTTGTACGTGATGAAGGTTTTCGCGACTGAAAGGCCGGTTCCACTTTCCCACATCAGCGCTTGTGTCCAGGTAATGATACAGGAATTACTTACACAAGTGCAAGCAGAAACACGATGCTTACGCCCCACTGCGTCCGCTTGCTGAGTTGTACGCGCCTTAGATAGACGATCGGTCCGGCAGCATAGATCTATCGTGTGTTAGTATCTGCCCGCAAATAGAGTATGCAAGTTACCTACCAGATCTGTAAAGATGTTCGATGCAATCTGTACGTACGCCGTCACCTCGCTCACCGCTTCCGGCCAGCACTCTCCTTGCACAGAGAAGTCCCACCGAGAGTAGTAGGGTCGGCAGTACGCGAAGTGCAATATCAACATCATGATGAAGTTGCAGATGACTACAACAACTACCGATACCCATATGAGAATTCGGTAGCTGCGTCCGAAGTCCAAAGCCATGAGGTATGCGCAAATCGAGGCTTTGACCAAGAACATTGCGTAGACATTCAGAGTCTGTGAGATGAAGATCAAGTGCAGCTCTTTGGATGTGTTGCCTGGTATAAGCCACCATGGGTCTGCCATCAAGCGACCTTGGCCGCCTTTTGCACAGAGGACGGCATAGGGTACGCACCCTAGGAAGTTGAGAATCTGTACAATGTCAGTCGTCTTGTCATGTTATACTGTCTGGCTTCCAGCGTACTACACCCCCAATCATAAGCCAGTCGCTTATCCCCAACCAAGGCTTCATCTGCATTCGAACAATGATACGCCAACCCGCCACTAACGTGCAGAGTGTGGCCATGGTTGAGGCAGTCACTATGAGCTCATGTCCCCGATTGGGCCATTCTTCAGTGGAAGGTGAATCGGCCATTGCGGAATGATGGGTAGTTCTCTTAGAGTAGATCACTGTAGGGCGTTCATAAAGCAGTGTAAATGAGGAGTATTCAATGGATAGGAACAAGTGGCAAAGATTACATATCTACCATGTATCAGAGTAGTTATCGCAAAAAAGACCGACACAATGGTTCGAAATCCTGAAGGAAGAAATTCGCCTACGCGGACTTGCAGATGGGGACGGCTCCTGGATGCACCGGTACGAGGCCTCCACTCCAGTCACTCAATTCCACACAACTTCCCAGTTTCTCGTCATCTTAGAGACTCTGTTGCGTAGGATCTAATCAGCTCGGCCCATTCCTTCATACCAAGGAGCCGGCACGCTGCCGCACGCGAATTTTTGAAGACCAACTCTCATTCGCGGGATTATTCCTGGAAATGAATACGAAATGTACGGGATGAGACTGCTAAGAAAGAAAGCAGGTATTCTGTAGGGTATGGCAATCTCTAATCCTTCCATAAGCCTGTGCTCATGCAACTACCGTCTGGGCAGCGAAGCCCCTACAACACTCAATTGCCTTTTCAAGCAGGTGGCTGAATCCTGCAGATGAGACGTCAGCATATGTGGGTAGTATAACCAAAGTTCGCTGTGCGAACATGTTTTCCTCGAAGGAGCAAAGGAAAGCGTCAGTAGCAGATGGTTAGATCGTTATGCTGTCCTGGAAGGCTCGATTGCACTGCTTGTGTGATGCTCTGAATCTACATAGAACAGACTGCGTAGGGGACAAGCGGGATGTTAACCTCTACAAATGGAGTTGATTCCCGTACCTAGTGAAGCGGCTCGGCAGGACTTATCGGGTGGGATTTGGCCCGCGTGGGTGGCGACAGCGCTATACCTAATCAGCTGTGGAGGAAACCCAGCCCTCTGGGCAGCATACCAAGACCGCGAAAAATACCGATCTCGCAGCAACTATCAGAATCTCCTGAGGAAGACAAAACAATGAACATCGTTGCGTCTGGGAAGCAGAACCAAATGGTAGCGTTGAACCTTCACGCGCCGAACCGCCTCGTAGCTTCCGTCGCCCGTTACGCGTGGACACGGCCCTGGATGACCCGTGGACCCTGGTTTCCATGCCGTTGGTACATCGAGTTATCAGCCATCATGACTAGTAATGTCCCGTCCCGTCAATTACCCATCAGCATTCTCTCCGGTGTATTCCCTCCGATGCTTGACACGCACCATGTGCTGACCCGGCCTTCCGCCCAAATCCCTCGCTCGAAAACGCGGGCTGTTCGCCCATCCTACTGCAAGGTCGGCAGATGAACATGCGTCCGAACTTCGATGGATGTCAAAGGCCCAGACTTTGCCACGTGCGAGGATCTTGTTTAGCGACTGCCCTTTGAGAAACTCTTAAGTGTTGCTTGGAGAGCCTCATGCTATCTTCTGCACAGTCAATCGTTTAATTTCGCAATCAGCGGTGATCGGTCCGGTTGGAGAGCAGCCTTGCTTGTGTGGTGTCTATCATTTACCTTGTACTCAGCTAAAGATGCATTCGTTCACTGTCCCTTCATTATTTGGTGCTGCCGTTTTCGCAGTCGCCTCAGCCCAAACCACATACGACTATGTTATTGTCGGTGGAGGCACCACAGGCCTGGTTGTTGCGAACAGACTAAGCGAGGACCCGAAGAGTACGTACCACACGATCGAGAGTCGCCTCACGAGCACCGAAACTGATGACAATTTGCCGCAGAGTCTGTTTTGGTGATCGAGAATGGCGCCCTTAGCAACAGCACCCTATCTAGCTTTCCCGGTAACTCTGGCGGTCTTAACCTTGCTGCCATGTACGACATATACAGCGCACCCGTCCCAAACCTTGGCAACCAAACTTTCCTGGTAACAGTTGGCAATGTCGTCGGCGGCGGATCCTTTGTGAATGGAATGCAGTTTGATAGAGGTGCCGATGCTGACTACGATGCATGGGGTCAGCTTGGAAACAAAGGATGGGATTGGAAGGGGTTGAAGCCGTACTTCATGAAGAGCAACGACTTCGATGCGCCATCCAAGAATACGACCAAGGCTTTTGGTATCACCTACGATGACAAGGCGTACGGTAAGGGACCACTCAAGGTATCCATACCGGATTATCAGTTCCCGGATATGAAGACGATCTACCACGCTTGGGATAACGTCGATATTCCGCATCCGCAAGAAGGCTTTGCAGAGCCCGTCGGTCATTATTGGTCGCCGAACTCAATCAACAAAGCGACAGCTATGCGCAGCACATCGCGCACTGCGTACTACGATCCAGTAGTATCGAGGAAGAACTTGAAGCTTCTGACAAACACTCATGTCGATGAAATCACTTTCTCAAAGAACAGAGTAGGTGTTCTAACCGCCACCGGTGTCAAATACACACCCAAGGATACCAACAAGCAAGTTCAAGCTATTGCTGCCAAGGAGGTCATTCTGGCCGCCGGTGGTGTGTTCACGCCGCACTTGCTCATGTACTCCGGAATCGGACCCAAGGACGTTCTTGCAGCTGCTAATGTCGCCGTTAAAAAGGATCTTCCAGCTGTGGGCTCTAACTTCCAAGACCACATCGCCAACTACATGAACTTCGACTTGCAGAATCTGAACCCTGAAAACCAGGGTGCCCTCAACACGGATGCAGCTTTCAACCAGACCTCCTACGACCAGTACCTGAAGTCACGTACCGGTCCTTACTCTGTCGGTAAAGCCCATGGCCTCGTCTTCATCGCACTACAGCACTTCGACTCTGCTTTCAAGAAAACTGTAGCCAAGATGCGATCTCAAGTAGCTTCCGATTTTCTCCCCGAGCGCTATGCCAAAGACAAAAAGCTTCTCGCTGGCTTCAAAAAGCAGCGCGACATCCTCGCCAAGCAGTTCTCGGGCACCGACGCTGCCGTAGGTGAGATTGTTATCCAGCCCTGGGGCTTCTCCGGTATCGCAAACAACAAGCCCCTATCACGAGGAACCATCACACTCAACAACACACATCCCGCCGCCTACCCCATCGTCCAATGGAACACATTCCAGAACCCCGTTGACGCAGATGTCATGGTAGCCCTTACGCGATACAACCGCGTACACTGGGCGTCCAAGGAACTCGCACAATACAAGCCCGTAGAGACGGCGCCTGGCCCTCAATACCAGACCGATGAAGAAATCATCCAGGGCGGCATTACTTCGGGTTCGCTTCAACCGACGTTTGCGCATCCGAGTGGTGGATGCAGCATGATGCCTGAGGAGCTAGGTGGATGCGTCAGTGATGAGCTGTTAGTTTACGGGGTGAAGGGATTGAGTGTTGTGGATGCAAGCATTATTCCGATGATTCCAGCAACGCATTTACAGGCTACCATGTATGCAGTCGCGGAGAAGGCAGCAGACATCATTAAGAAGAGGGCGTAGGTGAGGTTGCTAGGCAGAAACGTTGTGGATTAATTAGCATTCGTAGTGTTGTGTTTGTACAACATCATTCAAGATGCATCAACAAACTAATTACGCGTTCAGTTTCCTTTTACGATAAGGCTAGCAATTCATTACATTAGTCGTACACCCTCTTCACATCTGCCTCGTGGCATCTCCGTTGTGGCACTTCTCGCTTGTGTCTCTTTCCTTTTCCTCTCGGCGTCAGCGCACCCGAACCGTGGGGTAGCAAAACAAAGGAAAGAACATAAGCTGAATGTTCGAGAAAAGAAGGAGACAAGATCTTAGCAAACTTTCGTCGATCACTATTACCACGCCAAAGTAGTACGGGTATCAAGTGCGATGTGACCATGCCAAGAGAACAATAATCTTCGATCTCCCTATCGCGTGAATGTGCCTCCTTTTGGCAATCGTACATACTGCGTCATCAGGTTGCAACGAACGTAGAGAGTTTGTTATTCTTAAGCTTGCGTTGTTTCTTCTTTACAATAGAGTGTGTATGATCGGGGGGTCCGGGGCAACACCCAGTGCGCAACACTGGATCAGCACGGGTATGCGAGTTTCCCTGACGATCTTGTGTAGGGTGCAGGATCGGAGAGGAGACGCTAAGTGGAAAGTTGAAGTCGACAGTGTTAGCTATTAGGTCGCCAAAGTATGTATCTCCATGATTAGTTAGAGTAGTCCGTTGTTAGATTGATATAACCGCTCGGTCGAATGTAACGAGAAGCTAAGAAAGATATGGACACAGGCTTCCGGGCAATCAAATCCATGACCTTGACGCGGAAGAACTGCCGATGGCGTGACGACGTGATGAACTGCAAGTCATCGTGGGTACCTGGGCATCGGATGACGAACGCGATATCAGTGCTCAGGTCTCGATGCAGGTCGCCATGGTATATCGCTGATGACTGTGGCTTCATCATCATCGGCGACGTGGGTCGACTGGCTTGACCAGGGAAGGCGAGATGGGTTGGCGTAGAAGTTCGTCACGTCGTATCGTGTAATCATTCGCTGACGTCTAGGAAGACTGGTAAGAGTCAGCACGCTGAGGTACGTGCGGCCTCGCATACCCTTCCGCGTGGCAATTGCACAGGCTAGGGCATCTCGAGCCGATATAGTTGACGCCGTCTGCGGAGAATTTCATAAAGATGTAGCTAACCAAGATTGCGTTGTCGATCTGACTCGATGGTCATGACAATTCTTGATCAGGGCGAACACAGTGAACATACTTCTGGCCATCTTGCGATCATGTTTAGCTGTCACGTCCTCGATGAGAGGGACATCCCTCATCGAGGACAGTGTAGTCTCCAACGGTGTGATACTAGGGCCAATAGCTGGTCAATGGGAAGCGGTTCCGCACTGGTATATCAGTCGAGCCCTATCCGTTGGAATGGGGGTGATTATGTGATGCTCTCGATTAGGCCTGACATGGTGCAATCAAAAGATTCTTCCGAGGAGTCGACGATATGTTGAGCGACGAAAGCGGATATCGATCAGCTTGGACATGTTGTGGACATCCAATCGTATGCGATAAGTGAGACCAGACGGGAAGGAGAAGCTTTGATGCTTAGCCGCTGAGGTTAGCGGGTCTTTAATTCCAGGCCGTACCCCACACCACTGGACCCACGCATTGCCAATAGGGATAGATAGGAGAAGAACCCGTGCTGTGGGTGTGGTTTTTGGTAGCCAATACTTGGGGAGCTGAAGAAGTAAAACCGTTGCCAACGAGCGAGCACGGAAACCGTAGGTACACCAAGGCGTCGCGTGCATGTCGGTAAATGAGCTACATACCTCCAGGGAGTGGAGCACAGCCGCGGAAGGAGCATTAGTGTTTTGACGGTGGAAGTACGTAACGGCTGACTGCAGTGGCCAGTCCCAAAGGCCAGGAAATTCTGGCCGGGGAAGCGGTTTCGAAAGGGTGATCTTTGCAAGGAAGAGGGATGAAGATTTTGGAAGACCAGGACCAGGCATCTAAATTGGCAGGTGAGATCGAGGCCTTCGTACCCGTACCTCCAACTCGAAGTTTCTGCGTGGCGCAAATAGATGCCGTCCGATGCGCCCGCGTAGGCAAACCTGGTCTTAACATGTCTCATAAGATGGATCGCGTGAGCCTGGATACCAGCAGCCGTGTGTACCTGAGGGTAAGCTAGAACGGGGATACCGCTTACTGTGGCTTCCTACATGAAAGACAGAACGTGCTGACGACAAACACTGGGAATGTGGTACCGAAAACGAGACGTCACCATGGACTAGACAGCTAGCATTCGACGGCGAGTAGGTAATGTGGAATAGAGGCGGGCGGAGTATTGCAAGCCACGAGAGAGCGGAGACTTCAACTGGCGTCCTCCAGAACCCGCAGCCGCAGGATTTCGCGCATCGCGAAGGCGGATCACACATACGTGTGATGCGGTGAGGTTATTCGTTGTTGAGATAGACGAGACCGGGGGTGGCCCCTGCTGGCAGGCGGGCGATCCGAGGCGCGCTTCGCCACGACAGGCAAATCTCAACGCTGGACCCTTTGATTCTTCATCGACGACACGCGACAATCGCGCTATCGTGGGAAAAATAGCATTATGGCTTGACAGAATGCAGTGATCTAGATGACGCCGCTGTTATCCCAAAGTATCGGCTCATTTTCCGGCCTCCAAATCAAGTTGAGCTGCGGCAAAACGTCCAGACGCCGGCTCCGGTACTACTTTCCAGCTACCCCGGCATGGACAAAGCGATTGGCTAAGCGTGGAATCTCGCTCTATCCACTGATGAGCCGCAGCAACAAGTTGCCTGAACCCGATCACATCAACGCTCCACAGTCAGCTCCTGGCTACTGGTCAATTATCCACACTTCACTTGTCTTTTGTACCAGTCACGGTGCGAGCTGAAGGACTACGGATGTCGCTGGTACCTGGACCCCTGCGGGCGAAACCGACACTATTCCGTACCCGCAACGGAGCTCCCGTGCAGCGCTCCCAATGGTACTGCGCAGATGAGCTTTGTGTACACTGGCATACCATGCTTCCCAACGATGGCCAAGTCCCACTTGTATTCGAGCCTTCGTGCACGGCGCAGCTGGAGCATATGGGTGGAGATCTGGCTCGCCCTGAGTTAATGGTTATATTCCTGTCCATTCCCAGTCCCGTGCTCTTTGAACGCTGGTGACGCTCGTTCCTCAGTCTTATACACCTACCGATTAACATACGTTGACGGTTTCCGAAACACATACGCCATCACGATGAGGTCCCCGCCGCCCGAGGTCCTTGCGACATGGCCCAAGCCGAACTACGTCGACCCGACCACGAGGGGTTCGGGTTTGATGATAGTCGAGTTGACACTATTACCGATTGCTATGATTGTTGTATTTCTCCGACTTTGGGTACGGATAGCATGGTTGAAGAAGAGCTGGTATGACGACTACCTCATGATTGTGGCAATGGTCTTCAGCATCGGTACGCAAGTCGATCTCGTTCCGAAACTTCATCATCTAACATTCGATACAGGCACAACAGTCATTGTCATTATGGCATCCCAACTCTATGGTTGGGATCGCCACGTTTGGGACCTCACACCGCACGAGATGATGGTTGGTAGACAGGTACGACAGTGTGCAACCGTACCACCACAAGCTGATGTTGACGGCCCTAGGCATCCATGGCAGGTCAGACATTATTCGTCCTTGCTTCTTCCACGGTCAAGATGTCTATCCTCGTATCGTACTTTCGCATCGCACCAGAAAAGTCACTGTTCCGCAAGCTCGTCTGGGCAACCTTTGCGCTTGTATTCGCCGCCTTTGTTGTCTTCCTAGTTGCACTCTGGGTACAATGCATGTATGTATACGCACGTGTTCAAGCCATTCTAGTGCTGACAAGTTTAGTCCAATCTCCAGCTACTGGGAGCTCAAAGCCGACCACCGTGACTGCATTCCTGAGGGACCACCACTAGTCGTCCAAAGTGTACTCAACGTGGTGACCGACTTTATGATCTACGCACTTCCGATCCCTACGCTATTCACACTCTCGCTACCATGGACTCAACGCGTCGGCCTTGTCGTTCTCTTCTCCGTCGGTGGCGTCATTGTCGTTGCGAGCAGCTTCCGAGCCTACTGGGTCCACTACACACTCTTCGAGACATATGACTCCACTTGGGAAGGATACCAGATCTGGCTTTGGACCGCCGTTGAAACAAACGTCGGTGTCATCTGCGGGTGTATCCCAGCGCTCAAGCCATTACTCTTCCCCCACCGGGCAAGAGCGCAGGGTTCCAAGTACGGCAACAACTCGCAGAGCAGCAAAAGGAAGGAAAAGATTACCCCTGTCATCGACCAAGTCGAGATGGATACCCGAAAACTCACGGACAACGATGAGACGCGGCCCGGGACCGCCATTGCTCCGGTGCATTACCGTCCCCTCTCGGAACGACCGATGAGCGGCGATACCGATAAGAGTCGGTTTGATATCGATATAGAGCAGCAAAAAGCTTTCATGTACTGATCGCGTGGCGCAGTATTTTCCATTATCTCTTAGTCTAATATGCACATCCGTTCAGCGAGCGATGTTCCAACGTCCAGTAGCTGGTAGACCCACAAAGGGCACCTTCTACGCAACTCACCTCAGCTCACCGTAGCACTTTCTTTTCTCTTTCTTGTCAATACCCGTCGGATACGACAACTGGGCGGATTTCTCAGGTTTAGCGAGTCGCGCTCTTAGCAGCAGCTTCTTTTTCTCTTCGTTCAAAAAGCGTCGAGCACGATAGCGAATAACACGATTTCAAACATTCCTCTGGCTGTCCCTTCTTTTATGTTTGGGCTACGATTGGCTCGTTGTTGAGGTGTTCCCACGCGACACGCAACAACCATGCCGCTGCTTCTTTTTGCGTCTCGCGTAGACTGCGCCACCGGTTGAAGGTGACGGTGGGCTGATTGTCGCGTTTTCGCATTGTCTTCCTTCCAATATTCGGACCCGAAGCAGACCATTCGGAGGTCGTTTGCCGCCTGCTGCTTTACTTTCGGGCAAATTCATTTCGTGGATGTATACTCCCGAAGCAGTCATCATGCGGTGAGATCATTTAATCGGGGGCTTCTTCGTCATGCCGCGCGCATCAAACATCGTCGAGATGAACAGACATTCTGGTGGTGTGGAGTGTCGAAGCATGGTGCGACGACAGCTCTTTGCTTTTGTTCTGCCTCAGCTGGACCCTGAACTCATCTCTTTGGCTTGCGAACTTTGGGCTGGCGGTCGGTCTGTGCAGCGCATATGATGTCACTCTGCCAACTTGCCTCGTTGTTCTACGAAACTTCTACTGCGGTCGCAATTTCGGTCTCCTCAAGGCTTAAAATGTCATCGCCCTGAGCGGGATGGTGAGCTGTCAGGCTCACGGAGAGGCCAGCGCAGAGACATGATCGCCTCAGTATGACGTCCACGCCGCAATGTATACGGGCATATGGCGCAACGGCCTTGGATACCGAATCATGGCCCGGTCCTAACACCGGAACTGCGACGTCTCACACAGCGAGCGCACCTGCAATTGAGTCGGGCAGGAGAGCTTTTTCAAGAGTCAGGAACCACTCCCGATTGTGTGGGCGGCTGGGCCTCAAACGGTGGCTTGGAAACTAGTGGCAGGGCTGAAGGCCAAACCTCGGCACCAATTGAGCGGCACCAGAGACAGACCGCATACGCTCTGCAGCATGACATCTGCAGACAGCTGTTCACCGCTTCTAGCGCCTGCAGTGTGATTTTAGCGATTGCGAGTATCCGATGCGCTTCGAGAAACGCATCTCAGCGGCACTGTAAAAGGCAGCCCTCAGATACGGCGGCGGTTACCTGGACTACGATTATGCCAGGGGTGAAAATTAATAAAAACCAACGCTTCAAGTTGCAGACCCTCGTCTAAAGCGTCACAGCGGGCGCCAGTGCTTCGCCGCACGACCGTTGCCCGTTCAAACTTACCTCATTGATGCTCCTTCGGGCCTGATGAGGCTTGCAAATCGCCCATCTGGCTTCAGGTCGGGGTGCTAGCCTTGCTCTTTGCCGTTTAATGCCAACGCACCGTGCAGCGCCTGCCCAGCTCGCCCTCCTCATAGTTACTTGCAAACGAGAAAGTCATAGACCCGAAAGGATGCAGGGACCTGAAGACGCGTCGCAGCTATTATAAGCTGTAGCTACTTCGTCGCTTCCCTAAAAGATCTGCTGTCTCCATTCTTCGTTCATACAATCCCCATCCAAGTCTCCAAAAATGTGGTCGACGCTAGTACTACCACTGCTTGCCTTTTCATTGCGCACGGTATCAGCCCTTCCTCAGGGTCGTCGATGCAATTGTGAAGAGCACCCGGTATGCATCATTGGTGCAGGCCCTGCCGGTCTGGCTGCTGCCGGTCGTTTAGAAGAGAAGGGTGTCAAGGCAGTCATGTTCGACCGTCAAGCGGAGGTTGGTGGTAAATGCCAGGCTTGGTACGACGACCAGTAAGTGTTACACAGCATCCGCCTTCCCATGCGCACTAGACGCGGCTGACCACCCTTCCAGAGGAATCTTCCACCCACTCGGCGCCGCCTTCTTCTCGAATGCGACATACACAGACACCATCAGCATCCTCAACCAGACGAATGTCTCCATCGAACCCTTCGCGCTTGCTGGTGCGCGCGAAATGTACCGCTACAACTATACCACCGGCGACATTTCCATGAACCCCACCCTAACCCCGCAGTTTACTGCGCAGGTATCCGCAGAAATCCCGAGGTACATTCAGCTGTGGAATCAGCGCTTCCGACCGATTAGTGTTGTGAACTACAAGGTACGACACCCGTTGCAATGCGCCGTTACACAAAGCGCGGTAGGCTAATGCAGGAACAGAATGGTGTACCAGACGAATTCACCGTGTCGGGCGCAGAATGGTTCCGCCAGAATAACTTCACAGCGCTTCCTATTCTCCTTGTCAACCCCGTTGCGCTTTATGGTTATGGCGACATCAACATTGTTCCAGCAGTACGTCATTCTCAGAAAATCTTGCAGGGATTGCGCATGCAGGACGCTAACGTGTGATTAGCTGTACATCCTGCAGTACTTCGCCCCGGATATCCTCACGGCCTTTGTCGGCCTACACAGTGTATACTACATGGATTTCCACAAGATGTTCGTCGAGTACGCCAAGAACCAGCTGTGTAAGACGCCCATTCACACCTCGTCCGAGGTCCGTTGCGTTGATCGGTCTGGCGACCACCCTATCTTGACATACACCACTCCTGCACCCAATGGCAGCTATGTCACATGGGAGAAGCAGGAATGCTCCTCTGTCATCTTCGCCTTCCCACCAAACATGGACAACTTGGAGCGTATTGGCGTAGATTTGACTGAGCAGGAGCATGATACTTTCGCTAACATCACGACCCACCAATACTACTCTTCCGCGGTAGAGTTGGAGCTTCCCTTCGGAGTCTCCTATATCGCTGAAAGCGCCAACGATACGGTTCCACCGCCAAACGACGGCGAGCCAGTAGCTGTTCTTCACCTGAGTCGCGAATCCAATGTCTCCGTTGCCTGGTCCTGGGGTCCTTATGAGTTCCAAACCGAGGATGCTGCACGGAACCTGCTCGTTGAGAGCTTGTCTGAGCTCAACAAGGATCCGCGCAATGCCACAGAGCCATCCCAGCCCTTTTGCGAGGACGACGTCAAAGCTTTCAAGAAGTGGGATTACTTCCCGCATTTCGAAGGCAACGCGCTTTCTAGCGGCGCATACAGTAAGCTTAACAAGCTTCAAGGCCAGAAGAAGACGTACTACGCCAGTGGACTCAGCGGCATGGAAATTGTCGAATGGGCCATTCGTGGTGGACGTGACGTTGCCGACACGTACTTCTAGGCTGAACTTGATCACGAATTTCTTTATGTTGTTCATTAGATCACGATCATCAGGCTCAGTCTTTGGATGATTACTGAGCTGAGGAGAAACTTGTGCATATTGCGACATGCACGTGTACATTTGGAGGATGCCTTTTTTTTTCTTTTATATTGTTATGATATCACGGCAGAGGTTTTGTTTTCGCGCGCTTTAGACGATGATACCTACTACACGCCTTCGATGAGCGTCATGATCACGGTTCCCGGAGGGTTTGCGACCTTGGAAATGGTTGCGTGGTGGAGGAACTTTACGATTATGACCTGTTGTTTGCCCTCTGGGGCTTTTTAATGGTAATGAGATTAGATATGTAGATATGTAGATACGTAGATATTCGAATTTGCACTAAAGTGCATTTTTCTCACCTCCTTTCTTTGGCACTGTAATGACAAAGTACTTACGCCTGACCCCCCTGGGCGCAGGGCTCCTGGTCTTTCGAGCTAGGTTGAGTCCTGGTCGTCTTGGTTTACGGCGGGTTCGATGCTTCGGGAGCTCACGATTAGGAACTGATTATAAGAGATTGTGTTGTCCGGCTCATATCATATTCATGCTATTGTTCCCTCCTAACCTTGCGTAACTTGTTTCTGAGAGAGGACAAGAGATTGTTTGGTTGTGTCTCTCGCAGTTCATGTTTTCAGTGAGATGTCGATGACACAGTAAGATCGATGTTGCGTACACTTTATACATAACATCTAGATTACTATAACTCTATCAACTATCAGTTGAGGGCATGTGGCTGAATGGTAATGCATCCACATCATACGATAAACCCAGAAGGTCGTTAGCTGCAGCTATCGGGTTATGGGAGTCGGGGGTCTGACTCGAGACGCGACGTCGCCTCATTGGCGTGGGAGATTGTACGTTCGACTCGTACCATGTCCATGATATTGTTTCTTTTTGGGAGATGTGAGAGAAACCCTTGGGAAGTTGGGGTAGGTCCCAACATCTTTTTGCACAGTAAGTTTTGGCTGTGTATAACATATGCGAGGCAGTACATCCGAATAAGACAATCGCATTGTGAGAGTCAAAATGATATTGCTGGTCCGAGTTGATCCGTAACTCTCATGCTGAACTATCTTTCGAGATGTATGTTGCCTATCTCGCACACTGACATGCTATTATGCATTCATCTAAATCGCCGAATCACTAGCGATAACTACGCAAAGACATATAGCCTAATGAAAGAGCGCTCACCTTTGCCCACAAGCTCTATACCGTATCAGCATAATGGACTATGAGAGATTGATGCTTGGATCGTTGTATGTCAAGCTATCTATTTCTTTCTGTATAGATGAGCAATAGATGTAACAGGAACTTAGGTGGTACCGTACAGTTCATCATCTTTCCATTGCATAAGAAATCTTTCCGTTCTCGATGCATCTCACCTATCTTCTAATTTAACATACTACTGCATACATCGTCTGTATAGTCAAGATTCTGACAACCAGTACCAAAGGATGTGTGAGCTAATGGCCAAGGCACTCACATAATGACCTACGAGGTCCGTGGAGAATTTCTACTTGTCTTGGTCAGCTACCGTTTCCGTGAGGCGAAGCAGACTGTGAGAGATCGACGTTCGAATCGTCGCACGTCCGGATTTCTCTTCTTCTTTGTCGGCGAGGCTGCTATGTACGAGTGTGAGCAAGATAAAAATATTCATGTAATGTTATCTAGTAAGAAGAACAGACGAAGAGTGAGAAGATAGAGAAGGAGTAATATAAAACCAGTGTTCACGACGTGGAGAGCCTCATCGCTCACACATGAATCACCAAGATGAACTGGCTCGAAAGTCAAGCTTTTGAGGATAAGCAACGGCAGCCCAGTACAAGCCTGCACCTGAAAGTGGGACCAGAAGCTTCGAACAAGCGCCAGACCGCGCTAGCGCACAACTGGACGTGAATTCCACGGAACTCTTCGGTTCGCGACCCGAGCTAGAGCCTGGCCCTATCAAAGATCGCTCGCTTCGCGGTAACCCCAATAACGATCAAGTCAGTGACTTTGGGACATGATGTCTTGCATACGCCACATTCTCGGTCGTCTCCAAGGCAAGGGAGATGTGTCATAGCGTGTGTCCAAAATGCGAGCAAGCGACCGTGAAGATATTGATCAGATACTACAAAGCTGGTAGGCTAGTGTAGTGACAGGAACCGGTCCCGCGGCCTGGCCTTTGAGCTGAACCTACAAGATGCCTCTCGTGGTCTCGACTGTGACTGTAGACATGTAGCGTACGATGGCATTTGCTTCTCTTTCAGACCCTTGTCAGACAAGCTTTGTGATACGCCCGCTTCAACTTCCTGAGCGTTGCTTCTTCCCCGCAAGTCCTAGTCCATGCAGGACGTTAACCCATGCAAGATATCAGCGGCCACATCGATACAATCGCCATTTCTTATCTCGCTATAGCAGATAGTCCAGACCTTATGCTGTATTGGAATCTGACGACCTTTTTTACATCTCGTGTGCAGTGGCTGCCACACTAACACTCAGCTGAAGACGCGCTCACGAACTAGACCACGCTGTTCGTAGATGCAACTTCAGTCCGACATGATAAATAGCTCTAGTATCTGCTTCGAGATTGTTTCCTGCTGTATACTCCTCTCTCTTACACACTTACTTCCAACTACTCTTAAGCATCGCTGCAAACTTCCTTCGAGATGGAAACTATCTGCGAGTTGTCCGGCAATTCCGATATGTACGGTCTTGGAATTCGAATCGGATCTTACCTTCAATGGCTATCTTTGCTTATAGCCGCCCATTACGTCCCGAGCGAACTACCGGGTCTGCGGACGTCAAATGCCTTCTTCACATCAGCAACTTTCATCGGTCTTGTCGTTGAGACTGCTCTCCAGGACATCGAAATTACCGAGATATACATCACTATGTTATTGGTGTTTGGCTCTCAATACATTTGGCTGACCGCAATGCTCTGGCGCGTGTTTACCCCTTCCGAACCCGAATCATCGAAATCAAGCTTGATGCACTGGTTTTCCTTCGGGCTCGTCCAAGTTGCCCAGATCGGCTTCCAATTGTGGTTCTGGATATTCAAAGTTGCAAAATTTGCAAGAAGAGAAAATACATGCCAGCGATTCGGGTTCGGCTTTTACAAATTCGGATTGACCAGTGATGGCTTCCGCATCTTCAACATCCTCCTGAAGGCGGCTTTGCTAGTCCTGACAGTTGTCTTGTTCGCTTTGTATGCCCGACACCTTTCGAAAGCTAAATCGAAGAAGGAAGAAAACCGAGAGTATGACTCCCCCAACGTCCTCTGGGATTGTGCTAACTGGCTGCACAGTCATACCCCAAAGCAGTGGAAGAAGGATTTCTTTATGGCGTTTCAAATCGCATCAATCACCATTGTGATTCTTGCAATTGAGTTGACTATATCGTGGAACAGAATTCAGGACGTGGACTGTGCTAAAACCATCGGCCAGTTTATTCCACTAGCGATTAGCGTCGCTGGCGTTATACAGCTTCTTCTACAGTTTCTTCCTGCGGAATACAGAGCAAACAGGTGTCTCGAAGTAGATCGGGCATTGCAACAGGGAGCAAACATCTATGCTAAGCTTGTTACAAGTATAGTTCGCAGACCAACACAGGACGACGATGAGGTGCAGAGTACGGCCGAACAAGCGAGTGAGAAAGGACCACAGGTTACTATCATATCCTCGACTGAAGACGTGTAACAGTTTTCATCGTAAGGAGGGATATCAGATAGTTTAGAAGTAGAATTACCATCGCAAGAAGTGGTGTTATCATAGTGTGCCCGTCTGGTGTCATTGTCTTGGAAGGTCTCTGTCGGGAAAGTCTGCGCATTATATGCCACACGTCCTTCATGTCATTGATGAGATATAGCAGGCTTGCAGTGTACCGTGGGTAGATTGAGACACGATCAGAGGTAAGTGAGACAAGAAAATGTTGAGACATTGACAGGTAATAAACAGTATGACTCCATATAGAAAAGACAGCTACAGGAACCGAGTATCTTACTGAGCTTGTTACATGGGTGATATATAGCAGAAAGAGGCTTGCCAGTGTAACACCTGTTCATGTGGAAGTTTTAGCAAGGATCGTACACTTTGGGACTCGGTCTTGCCAAACGTAGCGTTCTCAAAATCTAGTCATTGTTGAATGAACGTTAAAAACGGTCTAGAACATGTCTTGTCTTCCGGGGAGATGTTTCTATTTTCGGAGCTTGTTGACGTCGGTTCACTCAACACAGTCCTGTTGTGGGTCAGTGGAAGGGATCCGGCGTGGGTCTAGGTTCAGCTCAACACGAGCAGGACGCGTGTTGCTTACGCCTCCTCACGGACCTGGGAGAACGTTACTTAAGTACAGCGTTTCAGCCATCACTTCGTCACGTTCATTCCTGGCTACCAACTCCGTTATTTACTGCGTCGACTGATTAAATATTAAGCTATTTACAACTATCTACCAACACCAACACCAAACTCGCTCGCTCGAACGACAAACCAGCAAACCAGGATGCAGAAGCATTACAGCCAGAGCCATCACATGTAGATCCATCAATCCGCCCGTTCAGTGTTTCCTCCCCTCATCAAATCCAAAAAAAGTCAAAAAGGTATATTGCGAATCGTTGCCCAGAAGAATAACAGCATCGCGTCGTAAAGAAACGTTATAGTGAAGACGAGCAACAGGCTACTGCAAGATGCATGCCTTCAGGTGAACTCATGACACCTTGGTGCAGCCTGATGCTACGAACGTAGAAAGCAGGAGTAGACAAGAGTATGTCTACAAAGCGAGCATACCAAGAACGAGAGCAGCACCAAGACCGGCGCCGACAGAGAGCCTGGAAGCCGCGCCTTCGAAGGGAGGAGGCGGGGTGGAAGAAGCAGTGTCACTGGGACTCAGTGTTACACTGATGCTAGCACCTCCAGTAGCGCTCATGGTAGGCTTGACCATGGTGCTGTTCATTCCAGTTGGGTATGGCGTAATTTTGGCGCTAGAGCTCTCTACAACACTGCTGCTCTTCACGACGTACGCGCTAGAAGATGGCGTAGGAGTAGGAGTCGGTGTTGGCGTAACTTGAACGGCAGCAGGGTAGATTTGAGGCAAGAGGCTCTGAACGTCCGTTGGGAGCGCTTGGTACCAAGTTGGTGTGTTGCCAGCGGAGAGAGACGATGCCATCTCAGCCGCGAATGCAGAGGACGATGCGAGCGCGTATGCTACGCTATCCGATGGGATCGCCTGAGCGAGGACCATGAGAACGGATTGCTGAACGTCGGGCCTGCGTTACCAGCATGTTAGCAAGGATCTAGAGGTGATTATCGCGGGTAAGCCGCGTCGTAGTCGCGTTGCGGATGAGATCAGGCAGATGGGGATGTGGATTGTGGAGATGTCTTACGCAACAGCATCCTGAGCCCTCGCGCCCATAGCAAGCGCACCCAACGCCATCATCATAGTGTTTGCCTTCATCTTGACTGTTGTTTCGTGTTGAATATCGTAATTACAATGAGTGTGATAGTCCCGCGTGTGACGTGTGGCTTAGAACAACGGACCGACGTTTATTAAAGAATGTGGAGAAAGCTGACGATGACGGGCAGCAACAGCAAACGCAGGGTCGCAAAAAAGTAATGAGCGTAGAGGTTTGGAGAGCGATGCGGCGAGAAGAGATGAGAAGGGAGGATCCCCGGCAGTATTTGAAACTGGGGCCCGACTCAGGAACTCACGATGGTTTGCTCGCCTCAGGCCCTTTGAGGGGGGCATGGCGGCTAACGGAAGGTGGAAAAATAAGATTACAACACCAATCTTGTGACAAGGCTGCGGGCGAACAAATAGCCATTGGAATTGGAATTGGCGCGCAAGCGAAAGTGATTCGTCGATCGGGTTCGCTCCTTTATGCTGTGATGTTTCTGGTTGGATGGGCGTTTAGATGCGCGACGTTTGATTGTTCGTTCTTCTGCCGGTTTGTCACCCACTCCACAACTTCAAACACTCAACATCGTCGGCCATCGTGATGCGCGATATTCTCACCGCAATGCGATGGCGGATGGCGGCGCTCAGAGCCATGGGCCTCATCTCCTTGAAGCGCGGAGAAGCTCCTTTAGCAGGCCAATGAGGAATGTGAGCCATGTCGCTAGCGGCAGGGTCAAATTTCCACTTTTTAAACAAGACAGGGGGTTCTGCGAGCCGTCTCCAGGGCAGCCCACATGGCCTCAACCCGAGTGATGCAGGGACGGATGAGCTGCATATGTTATACTTTGCAGCCTCGTTTTGTCGCTTGAGTAGCTTGAGCTGCGTCATAAGTGCGCTCGCGATGCTACAGCGCGTGAGTGCCTTCTATCGTACTGTGCCCCCAGATCCAGTGGGTAGAGATGATGCTCCACAAAGTCAATAGCTCCCTCGCGATATTCCATGGTAGATGATTGGCGAACTGAAAACCGACAAGCGACACTGCACATCGCAATTACCCCGGCAACTCGGCAGTGTTGCCCAGATGGAAGAACACCAAGCGCCTTCTACTCTTCCTCCATCAAGACATCGCGAACTTGGCCATCGCATTGATCAGCATGCGAAATCTCGTTTATAACGGCATGTGTTCTTTTGGGTGATTACACCGTCGAAATAACGGCAAATGGCCAGGAAGAAGACGAGAAGACATGTTGTCGGCGGTGTGGGTGATAAAGGAGCGGGCCTCGCTATCTCACATTATTACGTACTACTGTTGCTTATCCAAAAACCTTCTGGCGAACCTGACATGTGCTGCGACGACAATACAGCCATTCACGAGAGAACTGCGAGACGAGAGTACAGTCCACAGCAAGCTGGTCCATTAGAGGTAACTACATCGCATCAGATGACATTGCCAAAGAGCTTGGGCGAGCGTGATTGAGATCTACAGCATCCATCTACACAGTAAGCCTCACGATTGAGGCTGACGTGATTTACAAAAGCGCCAAATGGTTCCATCTCAAATCTCCATCTCCATTGCGCGCGACACCCCCGCGACAGCGGTATGGCTCTGACCACCAACACGCTCGCCACACTCGGGACAACGCGCCACCTCCATAGGCATGCCGCACTCTCCGATCGCGAACTGCGTTGCGTTAGAACATACTTTGTGAGAGTGAAGAGCAGTAACTTACCGGATGTCCGTTGACACATTTGTACCAGTGTCCAGAGTGAGTTGCGATGCCGCCACGCCCGCTGACCATAGCCTGTTTGATAGACTCCAGCTCCTCCTTCGATACCGCCTCATAAAACTCTTTGCTCAGCATCTCTGATGCAGCAGTAATAGCCTGGCGGAAATTATCTCTACCACCGAAAGGATGCTCACAGAGCTTATCAGCCGTCGTCAAGAGAATCCTGGCGAGTTTGCGGTAGTCGATAGCTTTCGCGCGATTGTTGTCTTGACCAGACTGAGCACTACCGAAGGACTGAGCGATCTGGGCGTAGTGTAGTATAGCCTCAACTGCGAGTTTGGGCAGACTCTCACGGATACAATCACCGATAAGCTTTTCCGTGTCTTTCATAAACTGATGCGTCTTGACGAGCGGCGAACCCCCGGAAAAACTAAGGGGCAATTTACTCAGGAGATTTTTCCGGACTACGACACGCATGATCTCAAGGTTGTCTTCGAGCACCAAGCAGCGAACCTTGATCTCGAGCAGTCTACCCCCAAGAGTAATACGTTGGTCGCGATCGCGCTTGGTGGACGTTTCCGAAGAGTCAATCGTCAACTTTGCAAACTCGGCGTTCAATGAGTCGTCTCGCGATATACTATGAAGAGTCGCTTGGTGCAGCTTGTAGGTCGGCTGATGTCGAATGTCCATCCGGCGTTGGAATGCTTTGACTGCATTCAATAGCTTGATAGTGTCCCCAGAGCGGTTCCTGATCTCGTCGTTGATGGACTGCATGGTAAACTCGTGAGCCGCCTCGCCACGTAGCCTGACGATTTCAGCCGGGACAACACCCTTTTGCGATGCCTCAAGCTCTTTTCGGACATCTTCAAGCTGGCCTTGTAGTTGCTGCAGTTCCTGTTGACCGTTCACGATGAAGCGTTTAGACATCTCGTCGATGACAGCCCGATTAATGAGTCGATTATAGCGCTGCGTAACGTATTGCTTGATAGGCTCTCGACAATTTGGACATTGTGGAATCGATGCGGAAAGCTCGGCATTCTCAATCAGCCCGGTAAAGAGACCTGTGGATGCGTCGAGACTATACACATCTTTGAGGCCAACAAGTCCATCCAGTGTTTCAGTCGTGAAGAAATGCCCGCAACTGAGAACGACTATAGGCGAGTCATTCAAGTCAACGTCAGCATACGGCAACATCATGATCATGTCTGGCTGCTCTTCAGGTTTCATGCCACACTCTTGACAGTAGTCCTCAGGGCATACTTCACCGCAGATGCTCGGACATTGATGACCGCATAGAAGGAGCTTCGTACAACGTTCGTCGCAGGGCAAGCGACTGCACGGAGCCGAACAGGGCATCTTGCAGTCGCCTTGGTGCTCACATGACCAAACACACGGCTCAACGCACGGCGCACAAGGCTCATGGCACCTCTGCGGGCATTTAGTGTGCTTGCAACGTACCTAGATGGAGTCAGAATACACTTTGGGGATAGATAGATGTCACTCACTTCACATGGCGCTTGACACAGACCGCAATCTGTACCATCGTGGCATAGGCGATTGCAATCGTGATTGCAAGTTCCATGCTTTCTCCCGCATGTCTTCGTGCAAGCTGCGTGCTTGACAACCGGTTGGTTGTACATATCTTTAATGTTGCACTGACCGCAAGTTCCAGGGCATGGATGGCCGCAAGACAGAGGCGCACTGCATGGAGTAGGGCACTTGAAATCTTTCCCGGAAACATCCTTCGAGCATTTTACGATCACATCGTGCCCACAGCCAGGTACGGGCTTCGAGACCTTGACGTCGCATGGTATGCTGGACATGTTTCGGGTACGGTGACAGGCGACACCATGCTTGACATGGCCGCATGGAAGTTGTACGTTATCGAGTGGGACCATACACTTTCCACAAGACTCTCCGCACGTGGCTTTCTGGCATGCGTGACCACAAGGCTGATGTCGGCGCTGGCATGGCTGCTCGCACAGGAAGACTGCATGCATCGCTTCCGAATGGCATCGGGCCCCACATTGATGACCACAATCGAGACGATCGGCGCATGCTTCTCTGCAACCCCCTTCAGGGCTTAGCCTATGGAAGTCTTCAGGTTGCTGTACTTCAGCGTCCGTATCGGGATGCCGAGGGCAGGACAGAGCCAGGGCCTTACCCACTGAGTCGGTCGCACGTAGCATGCCAATAACCCTCTGCCACATCTCGACGCTAGAGTATGTGTCTGTGTTACCGATGAGATACATGCCATGCTGAGCGCGACTCAACAAGACATTGATACGGTTTGTCGTCTTGAGAAATCCGACGTTCTGCCTCTCGTTGCTCCGAACAAGGGAGACGATGATGATCTTGGCCTCTTCACCTTGGAAGTTGTCAACCGTAGCAATTCTCAATAGCTCCGACAGCTGCTTCTTCTCCAACGGCTTGCCTTGATGACTCTCATGATCGGGTGTCGCAACGTCCGGACTGCTGTCGCTGTCCACTGCAAAACCATCCCTCTCGAGCGCTTCTTTGTCGCGATCGCTGAGACAAATCTCAAAATCGCTGCGCATAGCAGCTCGCAGTTTCTGAAGCTGGCCAGTATATGGTGTTAGTACCGCGATATCATCTGACTTGTAAACACCTTGTCGAACGACATGCCGGACTAGTGCATGCACCATCTTGACTTCCCACAAATTGGATTTGGACTTGGTGTTGTGCACATCGCTATCCTTCTCGTTCTCGAGGTTGGTATGATCAAGCCAGAAGACGTTATGGCGCAATCCGACAACGTCAGGCAGATCAATGGTAGATGCATGGTCCTTAAGTTTGTCGTATATGGTCTCGCGGATTAGCGAGGATATCTGCGGGCGCATACGACGTTGTACGTTCAGCTGAGCAACGGGCATAAGAGGCCGCCCAGGCTCACCGATTGAGAGGCGTTCGAACTGACTCCTGTCGAGCGCATGGAGCTTTCCTCGATCGCTTTCGAGCGACAAGTCGCGGAAATTGCTGACCGAAGGCCGGAGTTGCTCGTGATCACCAATCTGGATCAAGTGCTCAACATCAGGAAGTAGCGCAGAAATCATGTGGCTCTCCATGACCTCTCCCGCCTCCTCGCAGATGATAACCTTGCACTTCACCTGCTGGAGTAATGAAATACGCTTCGCCAACCCAGAGGTCGTGACACCGATGACATCTGAATCCTCTAGCAGTCGACGATTGAGCTCTTCGTGGATGTTGCTCAATTCGCGTTGCGTCTTGGTAGCATCGTTGACAATCTCAAAAAGCTCGCTAACCTTGTTGTTTTGAGCCTCAGAAACCCAATGAGCGATCAGTGCGCTCCTCTCGTGAACTG